TGAAGTTTTTTCCCCACCCAGTCCCCACTTCAGGTGAGGTTTCTGCGAGATCTGTTAAGTGTACATCCTGCAGCTTCTTGGCTTAAAATGTATGCTCCTTTGTTGTGGTCTCTGGGACCAGTCAGGAAAAGAAGACCCAGTAGTACAACTGTTTTGATACTGAGTATTGACAAGTGTCTTTTTGAAATAAAGAACCAGTCCCTCTAAACCTCAAATCTGTTTGGCTTGTTTATATTAAACCAAATACTCTTCCTCCACAGGAGTTTTAGAACTAAGTTTTGAAATCTTTGTGGATGGCAACAAGATTTAATGTATAGCATACCCTTTGGAAGTGGCCCAAAACTAGTTAGTTGCAAAACCCAGTACTTAAGAAAAAGCAAAACCTAGTTGTATTTCTACTTGTGTGTCTCACTTGGAAATCATTACTGCCATCATCTGTAAAATGGAGTAACATGTACAGTTCATTTAATGAACATTGGTAACTTCAGGCTCAGTACATTTTTCTTCTTTGAGACAGGGTCTTACTTACATAGTCCAGGCTGGCCTTGAACTTGCAATGATTCTCTTGCCTCAGCCTCCAGAGTGCTAGGATTATAGGTGTGTGCCACTATGGCCAAACACATTTTTCTTTGCAACCGTGTGAATTATTTTTCTTTTGCATTTTGAGACAGTTTCACTCAGCAGTATAGGCTGGCTTTGAGCTCACTTTGTAGCCCAGATTGGCCTTGAACTTGCAGGCCTTAGTCTCCTGAGGCCTGTGAATTCTAAGTATGGATTTATGTTCTTTTTTTAATTTTTAATTTATTTATTTTTTAATGTACTTAGTACAGGGTCTACAGGGTTTTACTACACATTTCGGACTTGTGATCCTCCTGTTTTTGGCTTCCCAAACGCTCGAATTAAAGGCACGCGCCAGCACAGGAGTCTCAATCGCCATCTCAGTGCGCCCCAGCGGTGGGACCAGCACGGCGTCTGCGTCTGCGTCTGCCTAAGCAGGCCCTCTAATCTGAGCTATCTGGCTGGCTCTATTTATGTATTTCAGTGATCCTTCTGTTTTAGCCTGCCTGACGCTGGGATTACAGGCGTACGCTACCACACCGTTTAGGTGACGAGTGTTTGGGGCCGGCACTGCATGGGGTACAATCCCTGGGTTCTTGGGCATGCCAGACGGGCACTTAGATCTCTGAGCTATCTCCTCGGCCCTGAATTTAAGTTCTTGAACAACTTAATGTAATGTTGGATTGTCAGGTGGAATAATCCTTATCTGTACCTCTTTTTGGAGGGCAGATAGAAAATGATTGGAACATCGCATGACACGTGATTAATGTGCTGCGTAGTCAGGACTTATAACACCCTGATTGCTCCTGTCTGATTCTTCCTGGGGGGAAAAAAATTGATGTTGGTTACATACTCCTATAAATATGTGGTTTTAGTAGCAGGACATCGATCTGATTTTCTAGTGAAAACTACTGAGCTCCCTTGAGAAAGTCCAGTTATTTAGAGACTGGGAATTTTTCCTTTTATAGGCATTGACTAATACTGACTGGAAATTATTGCCCCCCCCCTTCAAAAAAAAGATGTGTTCTGAAAGCCACACAATACACAATGATTTGAAGCTGAGAGACTTTGGGGTTTTTTTTCAATATTTTCCCCTGCTTGTTACACATTAGTTACTCGCTGCACCTCATGTTTAGAGAAGTAGCCCTTTGAATGAATAAGGTAGGTTCCTAAAATTCCTATCCCTGAAGCTTGCTAAAGGAGGTACCCGGGAAAGGAAGTCCCACAATTCAGGGTGAGGAAGGCCCCGCCTCCTACTGGCATTCTGCCTTTGGATTGGCCCATTTGGGCGCTGGAGGTGTGGCTGTGGATGAGCGTGAACCGAGCCACAGCCGTCGCCATGGCCCGCTCTGAGGCGCCAGGGGCCCGAGGCTTGAGGCTGCGGTTCTTACTTGTGCTTAATGTTTTGTTGCTCTTGCCGTTTTTGCGTGGAACCCAGGCCAACAAGCTTAACGTGCCCCAGGTGTTGCTACCCTTCGGCCGGGAGCCGGGGCGAGTGCCCTTCCTGCTGGAGGCCCAGCGGGGCTGCTACGTTTGGTGAGGGGGCGGGAATATCCAACCAAGGTGGGATTGACTGCTCAGACCCCCAGGAGTGCTGTGTGGGCCCTCAGAGTCCTGCAGGGAGAGGACCGGCGTTGGGCCGGAGGGCCCACACCTTCAGTTGTGTGCCACGGTCAGCTGGGATGTCACCAGGTTGTGGGGCGCTGATGGAAGCGTCTCTTACTGTGGCTGTTGGGGTGTTCTTAACAGCTGTTAGGGCAGAGGGGAGCCCAGCGTAGAAGCCACCAGTACTGACGACTCCCCACGTGAGGGACTTAACATTGTGAACAGCTAGGATGAGTGAATTCCCAAGGTCTGAGGACATTTCCGCAGGAACAAGAAGTCCTGGGGTCCCCACTAAGACAAGATCTTAACCGCTAGTACAGTGCTTAACTAGCAGTTGGCGTATATTAACTCATTTACTTTTTAGTCTTGTGAAGTAAGTACTATTATTCTCCTAATTCATGAGGTAAATGGCTCAGAGACCATGAAGTATAAGTGTCTTTGAATACAAAAAGGTTAGGGTCGGCCAAATAGCTCAGAGGATTAAAGTGCCTGTTTAGGCAGATGCAGTGGCCTGGGTTCGATTCCTGGTCTACCGTACCGGCCGCGGGGGCACACTGAGACGGTGACACATGCCTGTAATCCCAGCTTTTGGAAGGCTGAAAGCAGGAGAATCACTATGAGTCCACTCTACTAGAGGCCCTGTAAACCCTTACTAAAAAATACAAAAGAAAAAAAAAATGCAAAAAGACTCCCCTTTTGAGATGTTTATGACACAAAAGCCCCCTTTCTCCAAGGGGACTTCTCTACACGACTAGGCCCAGTTGCTTTACTATCTCTTAAATAGCTGGGCATTCTGGCACATGCCTGTAATTCCAGCATTTGGGAGGCTGAGTCTGGAGGATTGCCTCTAGTTTAAGCCTTTCCCTCCCCTGCCAACTACATAGTGAGACCCTGTCTCTAAAATGAAAAACAACAACAACAACAACAACAAAAAAAAAACAATAGGGTTTATCCAATATGAGTACATCTTTTATGAGGAAGTATGAGACTTAGGCTTGTAAAATGACCCAGTGTGATGTATATGTTTCCTGATCAAGAAGATGCAAGGACTCCTAGACAGCTATTCTTTCCACTTATCCAAAATTATTAATGAATTCTTTTGGTATTTGAGCTGAACTCATGCCTCTTAATTTAAGAGGTGCAGAAAGAGCAGCCTAGTTGCTAGGATTAGAGGAAATCATTCTCAGAATATGAGAAAGTCCTGTCTGATTGGAAACACAATCTGAATCCTATTTTTAATATGAAGAGAAGAATATAACACTTCTGCAATTTTGCATAGATTTTTGATAAAAGGTCCTATCCGTCTCCCACTTTAATTGTATTCCTAAACAATGTTCTGACTTGAAAGTGTGCCTGGTATACCTAAAGTGTATAACACATGGCATGGAAGAAGTCTAGAAGTAAATTTCCACAAGGTGAGCCATAACCTATGTATTTCAGCCTCTCAAGTGTTCTGTTCTGGCAGGCATTCCACCCATGAGGATGTGGTAACTGTTGAGCCTTTATATGAAAATGGCACCGTATGTTCTCAGAGAGCTGTACTCATTGCTGAATCTACCCAGCCAATCCGCCTCAGCAGTGTTATTCTTGCTCGAGAAATAGGTATGTGGAAAGCAGAATATGTAACACTTCTGGATAGCAGAATCTAATGACTTGTATAATGATTAACAGAAATGCCCTGGGTTTGAAATCATAAGAGGTAGAAAAAAATGATTCCTGCAATGTAAGTCCTAATTATTATTCTGAGGCTATTTTATTTCTGGTATATCCAGCATCTTGTGTGGTATCATATACCAGGGAAACCAGTTGTTTGAATTAATAAAGCAAAGAAGGAATCATTCTGATAGGAAGATAGCTCAGTGGCGCAAGTGCCTACAGCATAAGGTCCTGAGTTCGATTTCTGGTATCAAAAAAAAAAAAAAAAAAGCAGAAGGAATCCTTCATCTGGAACTAATTTAATCAGTAAGGTCAGGTTGGTGGGGTGAAAGGGAGACAGTATAAGAATAAGAGTTCTTTTTTTTAAAAAAAGTATTTGGTACAGAGTCTCACTACATAGCTTGGACT